TGAAAACTGGACAGTGAATAAGGAAGACCGTAGAAGAATTGATGCCTTTGAATTATGGTGTTGGAAGAGAATACTAAAAGTGCCATGGACTGCCAAAAGAACCAATAGATCCGTTTTAGAAGAAGTACAGCCAGAGTGCCAGACTTCATCTCTCATACTTTGGACATATTGTCAGGAGGAAACAGTTGCTGGAGAAGGATATCATGTTAGGTAAGGTGGAGGGTCAGAGAAAAAGAGGAAGACCCCCAACAAGATGGATTGGTCAGGTGGCAGCATTGATGGACTCAAGTGTGGCAACAGTAGTGAGGTTGGCCCAGGATCGGCCATTGTTTCATTCTGCTGTACATAAGGTCACCGAGTCAGTGCCGACTGGATGGGACCTAACAACACTGGATTACTTGCTGCCATTATGTTTGGGTTTTGTAGTGTTGCTGCTTTCTTTGTTCTGTGTGTCTTCTTTTTTTTAGTTCATGCTTTTTGTGTGCCTTCTTGTGAGTTTCCTCATAATTTTAATGTTTCCATGTTCTTGGATTTTCATTTTCTTGCTATGTTGTGAAGTCCATTAACTTTTCTCTCCATTTAGTGTAGTCTGTTTTATCCTGTAATCTACCTGACCTCACCATCTGGATCTCTGTTCCTACGTGTTTACCTTCTTTCACACTGTAATTGTTTTGACCATAGACTGACCTCCCAGATTCTCTGTGTGTGTTCTTATAGTTTTGTTCTGCTCTCGACTCTTCCTTCTGTCGATTTAATTCTGGGAGGTGCTGCTACATATGTCACTATCTGGTTATTGTCTGTTCTTGTTGGTTCTCAGCCCGCAGGACTCCGTTTAGGATGTTTAGTAACGCAGGGTTGACTTTGGCAAAATCCCTTAGTTTCTGTTTATCCTGGAATGTTTTGATTACGCCATCGTATTTGATTGATAGCTTTGCTGGATAAAGGATTCTTGGTTGACAGTTTTTTTTCTTGCAGGGCTTTATATATGTCTCCCCATTGCCTTCTTGCTTGCTTGGTTTCTGCTGAGAGATCCGAGCTTAATCTGACTTGCTTGCCTTTGTATGTAACACTTCTGTTTTCCCTGGCTGCTTTCAGGAGTGTCTCCTTATCTTTGATTTTGGAGAGCTTGATTATGATATGTCTCGGTGATTTTCTTTTGGGGTCTGTCCTTCCTGGGGTTTGTTGAGTTTCTTGAATATTTATCTTTTCACTTTTCAGGATGTTAGAGAAATTTTCTTCCAACAGTTCTTCAGCAGTTTCCTCTGTGAACTTGTGTGATTCTTCTTGTTTTGGAATGCCGATAATTCTTAAATTATTCCTCTTTATGTTATCTAACATGAATCTTAGACCTTCTTCAGATTTTTTAATCCTGTTTTGTGTTTGCTCTTCTATCTTAGTGGTATTGAGAGATTTGTCTTCCAGCTCACTGGTTCTGCCTTCCATCTCTTATGTTCTACTCCTTTTCCCTTTCAGAGTATTGTCTATTTCTGAGATTCTGTTATTGATCATTTAAGCCTCTTTCTGTAGGTTTTAAATGGTTTCCAATGCCTGTCTATCTTATTTGTTTGTTCTTGTAGTGCTTTTCTGACTTCTTTATTTTTCTCAACACCATTGTAAAGTGTTTTGAAACATTTTATAATCATTTTTTTGAATTCTTTCTCAGGCATTTCCAAGACCTGCCCTCCTTCAAGAATGGAGTCCAGTTCTACCTCTAGGTCATTCTCTCAGACATTTTATCTTGTTTCTGGACATGTGCTGATATGGTCATCTGATTTTGCTTCTTGGACATGTTTAGTGTTTATCTGTGGCCCTAATACTTAATTGAGTATGTGTTTTGGTATTTTTTATGCTTTCTGATTGCCTCCAGGTAGATGTGGTCAGGATGTGGGTTTCCCTTTTCACTCTTCTTGTTGCTTAACTCAGAGTAACTTTCACAGGTATTGTCTGCCTCCCTGGTATATGGCCGTTGGTATTGCTTCTTGCCTGCGTTTTGGTGTTTTATAGAGTGTTATTGTAGCTTGACTATATGGCAGCAGTTGCTGACTCTTCTTGAGTAATACAGGGAGAGAACGTGTCCTCCAAAGGTAGGGGGGGGGGCATGTACCAGCAAAACAGCACCAGAAAGAAAAACCCCAAACACCAACAACTAGACTGAATACTGTAGTCTATAATCGCAGAAAAGGGAGAGGAGGGAGAGACGAAAACAAAATGTGTAACTCGGGTAGCCTAGTGATTACGAATCGGGCTGCAAACTGCAAGGTCAGCAGTTCGAAACCACCAGCCGTCCTGTGGGAGAAAGATCCACAGCCTTGAAAACCCTGTACAGGGTCACCACGAGTCGGAACCGACTCCACGGCATACAACCTGCCACTGATATGCATATGACTTTAATGTCCTCTCTTCAGCTGTTTGCCTTCAAAGCTGCCTGAGAGATTTCAAGATGCCACTGTTGGTTGTTATGCTGCACCTTCGGATTTAATTTATTTTTCGGCCTGTTTTGTTTTTAAACTCTTTCCCTCTCTACACCCCTGTCCTGGCCTTTCCCATATTTAAAAAAAAAAAAAATCAAAAACTGTTCAGGGCCTGCTCTAGGGCTGAGTATCTGTGTGCATGCGTGGCAGAAGAACCCACCAGTGGTGAGGGTGGGGGGTGTCCACTCGATCAGAATCCCCCTCTAGTCACCAGAATGGAGGTGCGCAAGCAGTGCTGGGGGTGGGGGACAATGAACAGATACAAAACAAAAAGAAAATCAGAACAAAGCAAAAGCGACAAAGCATATTGTCCCCCTTTGCTCTGAGGTCCCCGCAGTGGTTTCTGAGGTGTGCCTGCTCCCCTGCTTGGACTTGCTCTTTGGTCTCGCCCAAGTCGTCGGCTCCGGTCTGCCGAGCTGGGCAGATTCAAAAGTACCTGATTTCTTACTTTTGCTACAAGTTCCACTAGCTGTAAGCCTTGGAACCTTTTAAATATTCCAATCTCCGTGGTTCCACGTTTTAGAGTTCTGCCCTGGATCTGTTTTTCCTGGTATTCTGTGGTATTGCTGATGGTTAACTCCACTGCACCTCCACCCTAGCCACCATCACGCCCTGCCTCCTATTTTTAAAATTAATTTCTACTGGACTCCATTGTGCTTGAATAAACTCTGTATGACTTCCTTCTTTTAAATGGTCTATGTTGGTGTATGTTCTGTGGGCAGTTGTTGGGCAGAGTGGTCTATAAACATCAAGTAGACCCTGCTAGTTGATGATGTTGTGTAGTTCTGTATCCTTGCTAATTTTCTGTATAGTTTGAGCATCAAGTTTTGAGAGAGAGGTGTTGAAGTCTCCAGTTATAATTTTCGATGTGTCTGTTTCTCCTTTCCGTTTGACTGGGTTTGCTTTTTATCTTTTTCAGCTCTGTGTGGTGCATATACGTTTAGGATGGCTATGTCTTTCTCATGCATTGATTCTTTCATTATTGTATAAGATTTTTCTGTCTTGTTAATGTTCTTTGCTTTGAAGGCAACTTTATCTGGTATTGATCGACTACAATAAAAATATCCCATCGAGAGTCTTGAGCTCTAGCTGGTAGCCAAGCGTGCGCACTCCAGCCTCTTTAGAACCATGGCCGCCATCAACGTCATCTGGGTTCCCATAGTCTTCATCTGTGCCCTTTGTCGTCCACATACTCCTCCGTCCCCAGCCGCCATCATGGTGAAGCTTGCAAAAGCCAGGGAAAATCAAAGTGATTCCAAGAAGCTGGCTCCTGCCCCCAAGGAGGTAGAAGAAGACAGTGAGGATGCAGAACTGTCAGAAGATGAAGAGGAAGAAGAAAGCAGTGGAGAAGAGGTTGTCAGTCCTCAGAAAAAAGGTCAAGAAGAATACCACACTGCCATCAAAGAAGGTGGTGGTTTCCCCCACAAAGAAGGTAGTTGCTACACTGACCAAGAAAGCAGCTGGCATCCCTGGCAAGAAGGCAGCTGCCATACCAGCTAAGAAGACAGTAACAGCGGCCAAAGCAGCAGAACACCTGGCAGGATGGGAGCCACCTCAGGCAAAGCAGTGGTGGTGACCTGCGGCAAGAAGGGAGCTGTTCTTCCAGCCAAGTGGGCAAAGGATGGCAAGCGGCTGTTTTATCATGGTTTTTGCTTCAGCAACTTTGGGACAAATTAAAAAGTCCTAAACTCTGGGTGGGGGGGTGGGGGGTGGGCAGAACAAGCCATTGTAAACCCTAGAGGTGCACAGTTACTCTGACACGCCTGGGCTTTCCAGTTCAAATGGGCTCCGTGGCATGTGGTAACCAGTTTCATTTGACGTTACTATAGCTACTCATGCTTTCTTGTTGGACTGTTTTCCTGGTGTATCTCGCGCCATCCTTTCGTTTCCTACCTGCCCACCTCATTCTATGCAAAATAAGTTGTACACAAGGAGCCTTGGGGGCACGGGGTACGCATTTGCCTGCTGACCACAAGGTCAATGGCTCAAACCTGCCAGCTTCTCTATAGGAGAAAGGTGTGCAGTCAGCGCTGGGGAAGATTTCCAGCTGCGCAGTTCTCTGTTCACTAGGATAGTGATGGGTCGGGATCGACTCCCAGTGGGTTTGGGTTCTGGTGTCCACAGCTCCAGTATTTGTTTCCATATTCCTGGAGGCTGTTTTCCCTTACATGTGATGTTGCCATCTGCAGCTCTAGAGACGTGAGCCAGACCACATCCTTCTCCAGCTTAACTGTCGGTAACCCAAATGAGCCTTGGCTAAAGAGCTTGCAGCCAGGGAGCTGACTAGTAAAGGAGCGGACCAATATGATCTGAGAAACTTTTGGAGGCAGGAAGAAGGTATGTGTGCAGGAGGGGGCTACTTCAGTTTTTCGGGGACTCGAGGAGGACTTCATGACAAGTGAATTTGAACAAAGTCGAGACAGCTGCATTAGGGCTTGCCTGGTGGCTGGGTGGACTGGTCAGTCTAGGTGGAAGGAGCAGGTGCAGGAGAGGACTGTCCATGTCAGGTGTGTCTGGAGCAGAGCTGATCTTGGAGGGATGCTGGAGAACTCTCCAGAAAGGTCTTCAGAGACTCCGGAAGGCACGTCCTCGTCGGCTCTGACAAGAAGCATGTAACTGACTGCATGTGAGGAGCTGCTTTAAAGAGTCTGATGGACAGGGAAGTGGTGGGAGGAGTGGGCTAGGGGGGAGTGAGCTAGGGAGGCCCCCTCTGCTCCCTCCCACAGAGAGACAGCTGGTAGCAGGGACTAGATCCCCAAGGGACCTGGAGACAGGATGGCCCCTTGGGTGGTGGTAGACCGAGGGGAGTGATGAAGAGCTTCAGAAGCAGGAGGAAAGCTGGGAGCGGATGGAAATGTGTATGGTTTACCAGAGGGAGTGGGGGGAGGGCGATGTCAGATAAGTGTGGAAACTGGCTTTAAAGTGAATCATTAAAGTGTCCTGATGACCTCGGGAGAAGCTTTCACAGGCAGGATGACAGGACGGAGTCACAGGAGAAGTCTGGCTTCTTGCTGAGAGTGTGGTAGAGACACCACTTTGAAACTATAACCTTGCCATTAATGGCTTTTTCGGAATTCTTCTGAACAAGGTTCCTGTTCTCCAGGACCCTCAACTCTGTGGTGTAGACAGCATGCGCATGCACACGCTGACCCACCTCTTTTCAGGAGCATCGCTTCAGTCTCTTTAGACCTCTTCAGTAGCCTCACTTCAGGATGCACCACTGAAATCACAGGACCCTGTTACTGGGATGGTCATGGAAACCGGAGTGTCAGGAATGGGGTATGAGACCGCTGCTGGCTCCAATCCATGGAAACTGGAGTGTTGGGAATGGACTGTGAGACCGCCTCTGGCTCCAATCCATGCAGCAGGGGGCAGACCCAGCTGCTCTTGAGCTTGAGGCCTCCCCCTCTCCCTGCCCCAGGGTTGGGGGAAAGCAAGCCAAACCATGTAGACACTGCGTTTCCCCCACTTTCTTTTGATGCATTCTGTCAGAGCCCAAGCAGGCCTCTTGGGTTTGAGCTGAATACAGCGCTGTGAGCTAATGCGTCAGACTGTAAAGTCGTTTGAACTGCAAGGTCGGTGGTTCAGGCTCACCTTAGAAACCCCATACAGAGTCAGTATGGGTCAGAATCAATTTGATGGCAACAACAACAAATAATAATGTGGAGTCCTCGTGTGGCTCTGTAGGATAAGCACTGAACTGCTGGCCACAAGGTTGGCAGTTCAAACCCAGCAACTGTAACTCGGAAACCCTAAACAGGGTTGCTGTGAGTCGAAACCAATTCAATAACACTTAACAGGAACTAGCAATAAAATCCGGGTCAACAGTGCTTGGAGCCCTACCCACGGTGAATCGTTTTTTAGGGTTTTCCGATAGGGTTGGGTTTGTTTTTTTTTAAGGTTTTTATTGTGGGTTGAGTGAACGTTTACAGGGCAACAAATCAAGAAATCACACACCTTGTTTCATTACATTGATTATAATCCCTTCTATGTACCATCAGTTAACAGGATTTCTCTCTAGTCACTTTAGCTTTTTAAAAACAACAACACTCAGGCATATATAATAATTTACATCTCCAAAGGACACATTCTGCAAGTCTGCCTCCTGGCCACCAGCTCTTCCCATGAATCTAGAGTAGTCAGCCGCTCCCCCTCTCAATGTCCCTATCTCTGCCGCCACCTCTGGTGTCGCTGCTTCACTGGATAAGGTCTCGCATTCTGCTTGTGCTCTTCACCTTTGATGGTCGCCCCCAATTCGTGTTTTAAATTTTGCTTATCATGTTGGGGGCACTGGAGCAAATAGTGGTAGGTTTAATACGAAAAGCAAACAGTTGTAGAGTGTCATTTGTTGTTAAGTACTGTGGAGTCGGTTCTGACTCATAGAGACCTTTCACAGGATTTCCAAGGCTGTAAATATTTTCAGGAGCAGAAAGCCTCATCTTTCTCCCATGGAACACCTGGTAGTTTCGAACTTCCAACCTTGAAGTTAGTAGCCTGACTCGTAACCAGAGCTCCTTGTAGACTGTTTTAGGATCTTGTAATATCAAGAGGACCTCTAAGCACAGCCTTGTCCTATTTGCCTTTGATGCTGCCACAGACCTTGCCTAATTTTAAGATAACTTTGTTAAAAAAAAAAAAAAAAAAGATAGCTTTGTACTCTCCACACACCAGCTGTTGCCTTAAGCGTTTATTGCCATGCTGTCCTGAGCTGCTTTGTAGTTTAAATAAAGGTTACAGACCTGTAGGACTGTAGGTACGCACTAGCCGCTCCTTGGAAACCCTATACAGGGTCGCTGTGGGTTGGAATTGACTTGACGGCACTTAACAACAACGCAGCTTCAGGCCTGACTTTTCATTACACATTTTTTTTTTTTCTCCTAACAGGTTGGATTTGGTCTAGGGAGTCCCAAAAAGAGATCGAGAAGGAGAGAGAAGTATTCCGTCAGAGAACTGCTGATTTCCAGAGAGATCTTGAGGCCAAGTACCACACCATGATCTCAGAAAACCGCCGGGCTGTCGCACAGCTGTCTTTGGAACTTGAAAAGGAGCAAAACAGAACCACTAGTTACCGGGAAGCCCTTATCTCTCAGGGCCGCAAGCTGGTAGAAGAAAAGAAACTTCTGGAACAGGAACGCGCTCGGGTCATGCAAGAGAAGAGGCAGTTGCAGCCCTTGAGAAGCGTCTACCAGAGCTGCCTGGAGGAGGAAGAAGACTGGCAGAGGAGAGCCCGGCTTCTGCTGAAGGACTTTGAAGAGGCGCTGACGGAGAGACAGAGCATCTACTGTAGCCTGGTGTTCCCCCGCACCAAACGGTGGGACCTGGAGAAGAGCCTGCTGGTCCGCGCGTCTGTTGACCCCGTGGCTGCTGACCTGCAGATGGTGACTGGTCTGACTGACATATTTAAACACGACACGTACTGTGCGGACGTCTGGAACTCCAACAGACGCCGGAACGGCAGGCTCATGTGGCTGTACCTCAAGTATTGGGAGCTGGTTGTGGAACTGAGAAAGTTTCAGAGAGTGGAGAAAGCCATACTGGAGAAGTGAGGCGGAAAAGGCATGGAGCTTCTAGAGCAGCTGAAGGCCCTCCCTGGCTCTCAGTGTTGGATACAGCTGAACAGATGATATAGTCTCGTGTTTTAGTACTACGGTAGGAGTTGTTTGTTTTTAATGTAAAATATAGTACTGATCTCACCTTAAGTACTTTCTGATCTATTTTTATCACTCCCCAAATAAATTGTGGACTCCTGGCATGGTGCCTTAGGATCAACGCTGGACTGCAAACCACAAGGTCAGCAGTTTGAAGCTACTAGCCGCTCCTTGGAAACCCTATACAGGGTCGCTCTGAGTCAAACCAACTCCATGGAGCTGAACACCAACAAATAAATGAGGTTTCTTCCTTGAATTTTTTTCCCTTTGCCCCAAAATTAGAAGTTGTCAGGTTAGGGCTAAAACTGCCTTACAGAGGGTAATAAAAAACAAGACCATTCTATTGCCAAGACGTTACAGTGAAGATCTCACCCACTCCTCCAAAGGGAAATGCAAACAAAGTCCTGAAGCCACGTGTAGTTATCCAGCTGGTGCCCTGTATCTGTTTGGAATTGGCTGGCTGTACCCCGTCTACAGATACGTACTAGCAATGATGTGTAATAAATGCTTGCCCTTTAAATGTAATAGTTCTGTTTTATTTGTAGTATTCTTTACTGATTACAAAGATGTAGAAAATACATTATCTCCGTTCTTTCTCCACAATCACGGAGGCAGGGCACTTGTCATTTTGGTCCCACTCTGCGGCGCTGTGCACGACAGAACAGACGGTACCTGCGTTTGTGCCTGGTGTTGTAGGCACTCGAGGGGCATGATGTCCTTCTCCAGGGACTGGTCCCTCCTGATGACATGTCCAAAAGTAGAGGAGACAGAGGAGCATTCTGGCTGTAATTCCAAGAGCGATGTGATCACTCTTGTGGCAGCCTATGGGATCTTCACCATAATCCAAGGCATCAGTTGCTCTTTAGTTTTGCATATTCTTGGTCCAGCTTTCACATACATATGTTGGTGCAATGTGCCATCAGTCGGTTACAACTCACAGGGACCCTGTATAGACTTTCCAAGGCTGGAACCACAAGGTCAGCGGTTCAGACTCACCAGCCACAACTCAGAAACCCTTTACAGGCTCACTATGAGTCGGACTGACCCAACAGCACTTAACAAATCTTTCTGGGAACAGAAAGCCTCACCTTTCTCCTATGAAGGACTGAAAAATACCATGGCTTGGGGTCAGGAGCACCTTAGTCTTCAAAATGACCTCGACTCTTATTACCCTATTCAGCTAACCCGATGAATTGGGCTTTAATGGGCACTTTTCACGTCCATTCCTAAAGTGATAATTCTCAGAATAATCCCATATGATGAGAAAGTTCAGTACCCTGCCAGGGTCACACAGGTGGTCCTGTTAGAGCTGACACAAACCCAGAGTCCACTTTCGTCACCACTGGTCCAAGAGATGAACGCTCCTCTTCTGAACAGCACTCCGGCTGCACTTCTTCCTAATCAGATCAGGTTGTTCATCTGCTAGTCTGTGATACATTCAATATTCTTCACCAACAGCTTACTTCAAAGGCATCGATTCTTCTAAGGACTTCCTTATTCATTGTCCCAACGTTCACATGTGTATGAAGCTATTAAAAAGACCACGGTTTTGGTCGGGTGCATGTTCATCCTTAAACTGACATCTCTGCTCCTGAGCACGTTAAGGAGGCCCTGTGTAGCAGATTTGCCTGATGCAATACGTCGTCTGATTTCCTGACTGTTGCTTCTATGAGCACTGGTTGTGGTTCCAAGCAAATGAAGTTCTTGACAATTTCAATCTTGTCTCCGTTTATCAGGATGTTATTTATTGGTCCAGTGGTGAGAATTTTTGTTTTCTTTACATTTATGTGCAACCCACCCCGAAGGCTGTGGTCTTTGATCTTCATCAGTAAGTATTTTAAGTCCTTTTCGCTTCCAGCAAGCAAGGTTGTATCATCTGCATAACACAGGTTGTTAATGAGTCTTTCTCTAATCCTGATGCCATGTTCTTTATGTAATCAGTTTCTTAGATTATTTGCCAGCCTACAGATTAAGTAAGTATGGTAAAAATGTACAACCTTGGCACACACCTTTCCCGATTTTAAACCATTCAGTGTCCCTTTGTTCTGTTTGAACAACGCCTCTAGGTCTGCGTGCAGCTTCCTGCAGGAGTAAGTCTTTTAGCAAGATCAGCACGGAACTGGTTGTTGCGAGTTGGAAATTAAAGATAGCCCAACTGCTGGACCATTCCACCATGTTTTATCACCCGTGGTCCTTGACCTCAATCTCCTCCCTTCCCCCCAAGTCCAAGGGTCTATAGCACACTGCAACGTCTCAGAAAATTCACAATGCCCAAGGAAATGGCTTCCGAAATTGGGGAGGCTAGTAAGTCTCAAATCTGCAGTTCAGTGATGAGTCTGAAGGAGTCTTCTCACCCACGTAGTCTCAGGAGCTGAGGATTCTACATTGGCAGGTCAGATGACAGGCTGTTGATACAGGAGGCTAAGGAGCTGGTGAATCAGGTCAGGGGATGGACCTAAAGGCCTAGGACCTGAAGGTCAGATGTCATGAGCCAGATGCAAGACCCAAGGCAAGAGAACCAATGTGTCTGAAGCCACCCTAGAACTCAGAGTCAGCCCCTGTCCCTGAGGACACTAGTGACTTGAGTCACAGCCTCCAGTCAGGGGCTGGTAGCCTGAATCCTTAGTCATTGTAATCCTTACTCTTTAGCCTCATCCTGGCCCTAGCTCTTTAACAACTCACTTCAAAATGGGACCATAATCCCAGGCATGCCGTTGTTAAGTGCTGTCGAGTCGATTCTGACCCATAGCAACCCTGTGTAGGGTTTCCAAGGAGCAGCTGGTAAGCTTGAACCATCGACCTTGCAGTTCAAATGGCTTTGCAGTCGGATGCATTAGCCCACAGCGCCACACCAGGACTCCTTAGTCTATGTGCTTTTTCCTCTGTTAGATTCATAAACATAAGTGTATAACTCTTAATATATTTCATGTAAACACACACACACAGGCTGGCAGATACAGTATTGATTTCAGGACGACCAGGAAATAACTGTCAATGTGGAAACTTCAAAGAGTTTGTGGAAAAACTCCCGTTAGCTTTCCCTGGGTGACTACAGTGCCAGAGGAGAAACTGTGCCTTCTCAGACCCTTGGTGGCTGCTGACAGCTGTGGGCCGTATGTCTCCTAGGGGACAGCGGACCCTGAGCTTGGACATCCGTCGGCCAGCTCGAGGGAGCCACTGCTGTCAGACAGCCACGTCTGTAGGTCTGTGTGGCCATTTGCAAGCCTGTCCAATTTGTGGACTGAGCCACCTCAAGTTCCCCTCCTTTTTCTACAGAGATCAAAGCTGGTTGCTATAGTTCTCTGTGAATTAGGACTCCAGGGTCAAGGAAAAGCTGTGAATTCAAGTGAGGTTTTAACTAGATCAAAGGCTGTCTCTGAATGTGGAGTCCAAGGGCAGGAATGCAGGTAGAGCTAGACTCTGAGAGGGACTGGTCACTCGGTGCCTGGTGTGGTAGGCCTGTTGGACTGCTGGACAGTTGTCCCTCTGACAGCCATCTGTGGTGGAAACGGGCCACACTCGCACCCCCAGTTTAGACGTCCCACAAGTGTCACTCAGCCATCGTCCCTGGCCCTGTGGCCATGGGTCTAACCTGTGACCGTGCATCGTGGGGAAGGCGGCTGTGGATGCCTGCAGACCATGCTCCATCGTGTCCTGTGCCTGCTCGGCTCCCAGCTCCCACACGGCAGCAGCAGTACGCGGACATTGTCCCCACTCACTGATAACCTGGTTCTCAAACTCCTGGGACTGATTGCCGCCAAACTCCAGGCAGTGACACTGAGCTACCAGCAAGAGTCCCTTCCCCACAGTACTGTGCTCGCAGTGAAAACCAGGACAACCAGGCCAGTCCGAGCATCTGGGTGAAAACAAACCACCTTATTAAGGCGAGAAGCCAGCGGTTCAACAAGGACGGGTCTCAGGCAGTACAAGGAGCCTGCGGAGGCCCGTTGGGGTCTAGAGAGGCCTCATGATGTCCAGTGAAGTCCTCCTCTTGCCCTGCAGCCCCACACGTGCAGTCCCCAGTTGCAATGTTACCAAGTCCCACAGCACAACCCCTCAAAACATCCAGTAACAATTCTGGGATCGTTGGATGACCTAGTACCAGAGGACAAGAAGATCAAGGCAGATGTCTAAGTGTGTCTGTTTAATTCCCTCCCCTCAGACTCTTAACAAGGTAGGGGAAGGGACGACTGACATTTTAAGGGCCACCACACTTTGCAGACACAACAAGGATAAGGTAAGGCCTCAGGGAGGCCGCTTGGGGCAGGGCGAATTCGAACCCAGCGCAGTTCTCTCCTTACTGCCGGTCAGACACACCTGCTCCGCAGTGGAGGGCGTGCCCCCACCTGCAGAAGCTCTGCACACGGGGCGGCAGCTTGGCCTCATTAAACACGCCTGGAAGCTGCCAATGCCCAGCAGTAGGTCTACCAGCCCCAGGCTTTCCAGTTCACCATTGCGGCGGCTGGCTGTCACCCACATCCTACCGGCCAGAGGTGCATACCATGGTTTAATGACAAATGGGAGCTACTCTGAGACTCACATCAAACACCATTACTACTCTGCTATGTTACAGATGTTTCAGTATCTCCAGAAGTGTTTATGTCTTCTATGCATAGAAAAGTATACATACTATATACTAAGCCAAATGTGACTCACTGAAGTGAAATATGAACACATACAGAACTCTTCTGACTTACCTACAAATTCAACTTAGATTTAGGACTAGAACTGGCTCTATTGTAGTTACCAGAGGCGGGGGTGTGGGGAGACACCGGGGATTTGCTTAGGGGCCCCGAGGCTGTGTCCCTGGGATTAGAACCATTTGCAAAACAATCGTGAGAACACTTGCACAAACTGAAAACTGGAATCCACGTCACTGAATCGTGCACACAGAAATGATTGAGGACATGTATGTTTGAAGCACATTTGATCACAATGCAGTTTCTACAAATTTACAGCTAAACCCTATTTCTGAATGGCTCTGAACTACAAGTTGCATCAGAATCTGAACCACTCGTGATTCTGTGAGCGTTGTGCTGACACATGGGCCTTGAGAGTGGTCTCAGCCCATCCAGATGGCTTCCTCATCCTGAGATTAACCACGGCTCCCCCTAACCGGCCAGCACCAGGACCCAGATGTACCCGAGGGCACCCCACCCCACAGAGGCCCCCCTGGTCCTGAGTTGACATGGAGGGTTGGACAGTGGAATGGGCTGTTGTCATGGCCCTGTCCTCATCTTACAGGGCAGCTGTCTGTCCAGTACAGCAGTGGCCACATGGCAACTGCTCATGTGCTGCAACTGGACATCAGAACAGAGCAAGCCCGAGGGAATGAGAGTCAGCCACGGCCTCTGCTTAGCTCGATGACCGTGGTGGAGTGTCCTCCACACTCAGAGTGTCTGTGGGCTCGAGGGCCTCCTCCTTCCCCTTCACGACCACCATCCTGTGGAGCCTGGGTTTCCTCTCAAAACAGAGCCACATCTCTGGAAGGACGGTGCTGACAGAGCCCCCGTGGTGGGGACAGTGGACAGGCCATCCTTCGGCTGTCTCCAGGGCCTACTCCATCTGCTCTAGGGCCCTAGAAAACTTCTCCAGAGCGCTCTTGAGAGCCTGCAGCAGGAAGGCCCCTAGCTCGTGGCCCGTCTCCTGGACATCGGGGTCGAAGGTCCCGAAGAGGGGTGTGGAGGCCTGGATGTCATCGCGGCCAGCCTGCAGCAACACTGCCCGCAGCTGCCCTGCCACCTCCTCGTACTTGTCCTGGTTGAACTTGGACACAGCCGGCCCGTCCTGCGGGTAAGCAGCTCCCTCAGGGTAGCAATCCCTGGGCACTGGGAACTCGATGCCGCGCAGTCCAGGGAGCTCACAGAGGCCGCTGAAGAGGCGCCGCAGGCCTCGGGCTGACAGTGGGTTCCCCAGGAGCCGGAGTTCACGCAGCCGGAGGCAGGGGCTCAGGCCCAGGATCATCCTGTTCACATGCTGGTCGCTGAGGCCACACTCCTCCAGGGTGAGGATCTGTAGGGAGGGGGCGGCTCGACTCAGCAGCCGGAAGAAGGTGGATGGGAACAGGCTGAGCAGCTCGTGGCCACTGAGGTCCAGCACCTCCAGGTGGGTGGCGTGAGGGCTGTCGGCCAAGAAGGCCATGTCCGTGTGGTTCAGGGCGCAGTTGGCCAGGTCCAGGGTCCGCAGTGGGGTCTGAAGGGGGCTGCAGGCAAGGAGGAAGCAGCACAGATGAGGGAAGGGTCCCAGGGAGGTGTGATGGGGGCAGAGTGGGGCAATCACAGTGCCTAGCCCAGGAATCAGCAAACTGCTGGCAAGGCTGCATTTTGTATGCGTGCTAAGAATGGGCACTACGGTTTTCAAAAGGTGACAAAAACCCACTCCCTAGAGCCCAGCCACACTCATCTGTGTCTTAGCATCTGTGACAGATTTGGGGTCCACAATGCTGCCTACTTGCTGGCCCCTGCCTGCCACACAAGGGCATTCTGGACAGACCAGAGGTTTTGGCGAGTAAGGGACTCCCACAGGTGCTTAGGAAGGACACGGGAGGCCAGGGCACTGGGCTTTGTGAGTTCCGGGACTTCTGGAGTGTGAACTGACCCAGTAAGGTGAGGACGGGCCACCTCTCCCAGTGTCTCTGTCCCAACCTGCCTCCTGTCTGTGGGTGTGGGGTCATGCTGGGGCTCAGGGTGAACCACCTGCTAGGCAGTTTCCTGGGTGAATGAAGTGAATGCCCTGGTGAGGCAGGAGTGCCTGGTCCCGTTCTGAGCTGGGCCTTGGGGTCCGGTCCTGGGACATCCCATCTTGTGTCTGGAATCACCAGGGGACCAGGTTGAGCCAAAGGCCCTGCCAGGCACCTTGTTAAGTGGTGGTCTCTGCCCAGCCCCCTGGCCCTCTTTAGGTGCAGTGTGTGTGTCCCAGGAAGAGGCAAGGCTTGGGACCACCAGCAGCTTGTCTTCAGGAATAGCCAGGGTCCAGTCCTTCCTCCCTTCACTGTGGCTGTCCTGACCCACACACCCCAGACCCACACACCCCAGGTCCCACTGCAGGGTCCGCAGCCCTCGCCCTCACTCTTCCCCAGATGTGTGGGTCCTCCGCCTGCTGCTCCAGCCTCCCAGTCCCCCAGGGACACACTCCATGTTCACTGCATTGACTTGGGGTGTGAGGGAGGGGCCAGGTGCTACCCCACGGTCCTCCAGTCAGTCCTGGTCTGCTGTTTCTGGGGTTCCTTTGTGTAAAAGAAGTGGAGAACTCCCTAAGTATAGAAAGTACTCCCTGGTTCGAGACATGAAACTGTGAATTTTTACTAATTCCTGATGCCAAGCCCAATGTGGTGCCTGGTCCCTGTGAGCGGGGCCTGCTGGCTGGTCCACTGGCAGATGCTGTGAGGATGGGCTGTCACGTTCAAGATCACCTCCCTCCGTCTCTCACTGTCCTCACAAGCCCCTAGTTCTGGACACTCTCAGCTCTCAGGCAACCTGCACAGGAGCCTTGTGGTGAGGAGAACCCAGGCCTCCCACCAACAACCAGGACAAGAGCCAGGAAGACAAGCGCCCTCCCAATCCTTGGGTGACGTGGGAGTTCTCAGCCACAATTATCCGGCTCTGATTTGAAGCCCTGGGAGATGATGTTCCAGAAAGCTACCAAGTGTCCGGGTGACGTGCTCCTCTCACGATTGGATAATGTGGCTGTGTCTTATTTCCTTCTTTGCTAATTGGTAACTTTCTCCTTGACTTAATGAGAGCAGATGCCCCCAGCGCTTTCTCTGCCTCCCACCTCTCATCCGGGTTCTGCTAGAGGCTTTGTCCGCCCCCAGGGTCAGGGGAGCAGTGGGAGCAGGCAGCCTGGCGCAGTAAACCGGCCCCCTCTCCCACTCCCTGGGCACCGTCAGCGGGTCTGCACTGACCCCCGCCCCGCCCTCACCCGCCCTCTCCACCCCCTCACCCGTTACCCACCCCCTTACCCGAGCAGCTGCTGGACCCTGCCGGTCAGCGTGGAGAAGGCCACGCTGAGCTCGGTCAGCTGGGGCATTTGGCTGAGAGCCTGGGCAATGGTGGCCAGGTGGTGGTCTTCATCGGCAGGGAGCCCGCGATGGGCCGGCGGGGCGTCAAAAGCCTTGGCGGGCAGCGTGAGCGCCGTCAGCTGGGGGAAGCGCACCTGCGCCAGCAGCTGCTCCACGTGGCCGGCGTGCAGCCGCACGTTGTGCACCACGTCCAGCCTGCGCAGCGCCCCGGGGCCGGCCAGCTGCAACACTTGGAGCAGCTGGGCGGGGCGCAGACTGTCGGCCCGGAACGAGACGCAGCGCAAGTGCAGTGGCGCCGGGCCCGCCGGCCTCAGGGCACCCACCACCGCTTCAAAATTGCCCTCGGTGACGAAGAGGTCGGCCAGCACTTGGACGGCTGGGCGCTCGGCTGCGCGGGGCTCCGCCTGCAGCTCTAAGCAGGCCCGGGCCAGTAGCTGGGTGCGGCCCCAGCGGCCCAGCGGCTGGGCGCAGCGGCACCGCGGTTCCTGCACGTCACGCAGGCCCGTCAGGTCTGCCAGCCGCAGGCGCGTGCGGCTCTGGGTGCGCAGAACGTGGGCGCCCAGGCCGCGCACGCAGGCCTCGAGGCAGGGGCGGCAGGGCCGGTCGCGCAGGTCCTCGGGGTGGTCGGCGCTGGGCCCCAGCAGTGCGCCGAGCCGGAACTCCTCCAGCGGCCAGCGCGTCAGCAAGGCCTGCAGCACGTCCGCGCGCTCTAGGCCGAAGCTAGCTTTAAAGAGCAGCGGGTACAGGTCGTGGGCCACGCAGTCCAGGCTCTGCTCGGCGGCGGCGGGGATGTGGGCCGCCAGGGCCTCCGCGGAGAGGCAGCGCAGCGACCTCATGGCACCAGGAGCCCCCGGCAGCACGGCTTTGCCCTGGGACCCTCGGGAAGGTGCTGGCCTTGTGTGTCTATTATTAGCTGCAGCTGCTGTAAGCGCGGCCAAGCCCTGCTGTCATCTGACGGCTATTTTGGGTCCGGGCACTGTTTGCCTGGTGTGTGTGTGTGTGTGTATCTCTCTGGGGTCCGGCAGACACCGGCTTGGAACTGCTAGCGGGGATCCAGAGCAGGTCACACAGCAGGGTTTAGATATAGATCCTTGGGGGCCTCTTGGGGGGAAGGGGGAAAACCCCTTTGGGACCCTCTATAACCTCCTTTAGGCAACCTGTCAGGAACCACCTAAACTGGGTCCTCCCAATGTTAACCTTTCAGAGTGGACCTAGGGGTCAGTCTCAGTCTTTCCGCTCCACCTGGGAGTAAGGAGGTGGGGCCAGGACTGGGGAGGGCCCCTGTGAGGAGTGGCCAGTTGTCGCCTTCATTCCCAGGGGCCCCAGGCAGGCTGGTCACAGGTGAGTTTTGCTGTGTGGGGCTCAGAGAAGCCGGTTTCCTTGTCCCCAAATGGAGATCGCTTGACTACAGCGTTAGCGCCCAGCATCACGGGATGACATGATCCCCCTTCCCTTACCATCACCCCCCACCCCCACCCCCGTCACCATCACTGACGGGACATGACTCCGTAGCCTCATCATCATCTGAGGTGGATGCTGTCGTCCCACGGTCCTGTATGTGGTGTTGGTGGACAGTGTTGGCGCCTCATGTAAGCAGAGCCTCTTCCTGTGTGCTCTGGTGGAGGACTGTCAGGGAGGAGGGCCAGGTGTGGTGGGAACTACGTCAGCCATCACCCTGTGGAGCATCCGTGGCCAGGTCTGACACTGAAGAGGATGTGGACATGCAGAGTCACACCCCACTCCTTGGTTGTCACCTTGTGGGGGACTGGGCTCTCCAGAAGAGATACATGGTCAACCTAGGACCCTCAGTTCCGTTTCCAGGACCCAAGAAGAGGCATGTGAAGATGAGAGACAAGTCCCATTTATTTAAAGTTTCAAACCAGTCAGTACTGAAGAAAGGTAACATAAGTAACAAAAGTATCCTATTTGGCTTCTGAGAGGCACTTTCCAAAATCTATGTTGGTGCTCCTGCCGTCTAGCCCTTGAGCGAGGAGCCTGGGGAAGGTGTGGGGCCAGGCCAGGACCTTTGGTCTGTGAGGGACAGTCCTTTCAGGTGCACTGTGTGCATTCACGAGACCTCCTGCATGCTGCGAGGCTTCAGTCTAATCTCCCACCAGAAGTGCTAAGGGGAGCAGGCATGCTGGTCCAGGCTCATTGTGGGAACTGTGGCCCCGTGGCACCTCAGTGCTGACTCCAGCACCTCTTACACTAACTACACACAGTCTGTAGCAGAGACAAAGCTGCGTTTCCAGGCACTGGTGATGCCAAGCCACTGTACATACAGTCCCTGCCCACAGAAACCAAAACCCAGGCCCATGGTTGGGAGGTCACAGGGGACATGTCCCACCAGGACCAGGGTCTATGAGCTTCCCCCATGTCCCTCCAGAGAAGGGCACTTCTTCCATGTTCATCCTGAAGGGGACACTTCTCCACACCTCGCCAGAGAGCGGACACTTCCTCCACGTCCATTCTGAAGGGGACACTTCCTCCACGCTTCTCCAGAGTGGGGGCACCATCCAGGAAGGACGAGGGCTGGGGGAGTCAGAACACCCCGCTTGAGTCCTGATGTGACCCAGTGTCTGTCTGTGGTCGAGGCTCCGCCCCTGAACCGGGCCCTGGCTGGGTCATCACAGCTGTCAAAACAGATTATGTTACATGTGGCTCAGGACCTGCTTGTCCGCATCACTGTGGCAGGTGGTAGGTACCACGAGAGGGAGTGTCCAGGTGGCTGGGCGGCATGGACAGCCTAGAGCGCTCCCTGTGGGCTGAATACTCTCCCCCAACCCCAGTTCCCTGAAGTGAGCTTCGAGCTTGTGGCCAGGACCTAGCAGCAAAGGGACAGGAGACAGCAGGGCAATGTGGTAGAGTTAGAGCAGAGCAGGTGGACTGAATGGCAAGTTAGGGGGACAGCCTTGTTTGGTCACTCCCACGCTGCCCAGAGCTCAGCACATCCCTGTTAAAGCCACAGGGGGGACCCCATGAAAAGGGCAGAGCTGGAGAAACGGGGCACTGCCCCCACTCCTACACTGTATCCTTTACAGGGTTTACGTCGCTCAGCATGAGAGGGGTCAGCAAACACTTAGGTCTGGGCCCGTAGAAATGCGGGGTAACTCCCCAGCAGGGACCCCAAGGGCCCTCCCTGGTATTTGGAAAATGTCATGTGTCACTGTGGCTTAGCTATGGTGCCTAGCAGTGTGGACAACCATGCCTGCCCAAAGTGCAGTATTTAGGGTTTATACTCTTAGAAAAAGAAGGCTATCAGAAGAAAGGATAGAGCGCATTTGTCTAATCCCTCCTCCGAACATCCCAAAACAGTTAAGGGAATTTCTAGGCATGGCTGGGTATTGCAGAATATGGTACCATGTTTAGAGAACTAGCTAAATCCTTGTACAATAAAGTAAAAGGAAAAAAGAGGAGGAGCTGGAATAGGATAAGGAAGCTGAAATGGCATTGGCTACTCTGAAAAACACACTGACAAGCACAACTGTTGTTCTAAGTTCCAAACTTAGAAACCCCTTCTTTCTTCATGGGGATTGAAAGAAGTAAGGGGAGTCCTGGAGTGGTGCTGTGGGCTAATGCGCTGGACTACAGCATTGGTTTGAACTGCAAGGTCAGCAGTTCAAGCTCATCAGCTACTCCTTGGAAACCCTATACAAGGTGGCTGAGTCGGAACTGACTTCGCAGCACTTAACGACATAATGTTCTGGAAATTCTTGAGCAGCTCCCACCAGGCTTTTACCCCAGACATTCGGCTGTAGTGGAATCCGCTGCCCGAGTTAGCATTTGAAGAGGGTAAGAGGATGGCTGAGAAGGTAGCTCAAACCTGCGTTATTGGCCGAGAAAACCACCATCGAGGAGCCGTCATTAAAGCCAGTCCAGCATGGAGGAGACTATCCAGGGCAGGATTGACAGACAGATGTCACCAGCATGAAGAACTGCAGCGGTAACGGGAGCATCTCTACTAAGACACCTTCTCGGGATGGGCTGCAGCTTTTCTAACTAGAACCGAGTGAGCCTCAGAGGCAGCGAAAGCCTTGCTGAGAGAACTTGTGCCTACGTTTGGGTTCCCTCACAGGCTTCAGATTGACAGTGGGCCAGCTTTTACCTCCAAATGGTCACAGGAACGGTCACAGGCCCCGGGAATATCCTGTTAACTACATACTGCATGGCCTCCTCAGTCTCCAGGGTAACGCTAAAGAAGGCATTACCCAAATTCCAAGGGGAAGACTATCCACAATCCAAGTCCTAACTAAGTGCCTTTGAGATGATGGGAGATCTTTTTCCATACACCTCTGAAGAGATCTCACTGAGGCCGCCTTAGTGTTAAATCAGGTCATTAGCCTCATCAGACCCAGCAGGCTCTGTTACACTACGGAATCAGTCTTCCCTGAACCCACCGAAGACGTGGGAGCATCTCCATTACAACCAAGAGAGTGGGTATTAACAAAAGATTGGAAAGCGTGGGGACACCAACAGACACCTCCACCCCAAGTGCTGGGAAAGTAGATAACATCACTTCTTGGATTCATTATTTCCAGAATCAAGAAATGGAATGTCCCGGAGGCAGGCCTTACAGAGGAGACATAGCAGCGTGAGCTTACAGGAGACCCAAAGCTCTTTTGTAAAAAGGGGACAAAGTAAAGAGAAAAGATATGTGGGGAGTGATCCTGGGTGTCTGTTGGGGGATTTTCCTTCATGTTTTTCATTTTTGCCACTCAGATACCCGAGGGATAGTTCCTGGAAGTCACCTTTTCTGTCCCTGTAGAGTTCCAAGGGAACAGATCTGAAAGCAATTGTTGTATAGCATCAGACCACAATGAAGGACATTTTAATCATAAGCTTGTCTCTGTTCTCAGTAAAAGCCAATATTTCTTTATTGAATATTCAAAAATAATAGCCCAGGGACAAAATTTAACAAATTGATGGGTGTGCCATCTGGAAATTCTCCAAAGTCAGGGTTCTTCCTAAACATGTGTCTCTGACTTCCTCCATTCCAAGTACTAACTTGTCCAGCATTAGCCTCCCTTTGGGAACCCTAAGGGATAACCAGCTACAGTCCTCCGGTAGCTTGTCAGTGCAAGTTCAGTCAAAGGGTTTGAGTTGTGTAATAGCTTCCATCTTGCTCCAAATATGACCTGTAACTGCACTGCCAAAGGACTGTGTCCCGGAAGCAGGCCCGGAACTAGCTGAGAAGCATGCAGGAACCTCGAGAGGCATGATTCCAAATAGGAGAAGCTCTAGGACACCCACTGGCACCCTGGACTATAGCTGTAACTGGCTGGTTACCAGTGTCTGAGGGGAAAAGACTGTCTGAAATGAGTAAGAAAAATCCAAGTTTAGACCCAGAGAGCAGCACCAGTTGGCCTACTGAGGATCAATTCCTGTGTTTAGGCCCAGGGGCATGGTGGCCATGTGGAGAAAATGCCACCCGAGTGTGAGCTGTAAGATGTTTACATGTGACCAACTTATATGGGTGCTGCCCAGCAGAATCGTTGAGAGCTGTAGATTATGATTCTTGGATTTATAGGCACTTACCCTATGCCACCACTCATCTGTCAGTCTGTCCTACTGTGGTGGCTTATGAGTTGCTGTGATTCTGAAAGCTATGCCACCGGTATTATAAATACCAGCAGGGTCATCCAAGATGGACAGATTTCAGCTGAACCTGGAAGCAAAGATGGACCAGGAAGGAGAAACAAAATACTTCCATAGTCACTGAAAACCATATGCATAGCAGAGGAACACTGTCAGCACCAGATTATTGAATATTGAAACATGATGAAGACCACCACAATATTGTCAGATAAAGCGCTAGAAGATGAGTCTTCAGATGACA